AGGAATTTAACACTGCAGCTGTTTGATTTGGTTGTGTCAGTGCTGATTTAGAAAGAGTAGTGTTGTCCTTCTGGTTGGTTAGGGTTACAAGGATTTATTATGAATAGAATTAAAAAGAGTTGGTGAGGGGCTTGATGACTAGAACTGTTTGAAAATACTTAAGAGAATGAAGGAAAGGAAAGAGCAAAAGAGTGGGGAAGGAAGGGGAAGAGCTGGAGTTAAAGAGATTGGGGAAGGAAAGAGAAGGGGACAAAAATATTGGAGAAAGAAAGGGAAGGAGAAAAAGATATTGGGGAAGGGACACTGGGGAAAGAAAGGGTTGGAATGTATAAAGAGTTTAGATAATAAGGGAGGGAGACAAAGAGTTTGGGAAAGGAAGGAAGGAAGGAAGGAAGGAAGGAAGACAAAGAGTTAGGGAAAGAAAGGGGTAAAGTTTGGGGGAAGGAAAGAGGACAAAGAGTTTGGGGGAAGGAAAGGAAGGGACGGGGCAAAGAGTTTGGGGGAAGGAAGAAGGAAGGAGGACAAAGAGTTTGGGGAAGGAAAGGAAGGAGGACAAAGAGATTGGTGGTGTAGGAGAATAAAGAGTGCAAGGCAGATAGATTGTGAGAAGTGAGGCAAAAAGACTGGGTAAAGGAACTGTAAAAGAGACAAAGAGATTGGGAGAAAGGTGTGGGTAACAAAGAGATTTGAGAAGGAAAGGAAAAGAGAGGAAGAAATATATAGAAAAAAAGGAATGGAAATGGGGGACAAAAAGATTGGAAGAAGAAAAGAAAGAAAGAAAAATATGTGACAGAGAATTATGTGAGGAGCAGAAGTGAATGAATTAAATAGATAAAGAAAAGAAATAAGGCAATAGAAGAGAATGAAAAAATGTTTTTTGTTTAGAAATGATCTTATAAAATTTATATCTCATTCTAGTCTACTAAAATGGGAGAGTCTAAATGTGGTCTCACATGTAATTTTTTACTTGGCAGGAAAGAAATGCTTGTTGTTGGAATTGTTTGCTGACCTTGCCAATACCAAGCAAGATTTTAAATTTGGTAAACTAACCTTGTTGTTTCATTGAGTTAAAACACAAACAGTATTTCAAATGAAAAATAAGTACTATTAAAATTATAAGATTTGGACATAAACTGAAGCTACCTGTTTGTATTTCTGAGATAAGGTATTATGTACACTATTTACATTGTTTGGACTATCATCTTCATCTTTGTTGCCATATTTATCACAACATTTCGGCCGTTGTATACTCCGGCCTTCTTCAGGTAGTTGGAATGTCGAACTGAACCCTTTATTTTACTCACTGGGGTAGACTGTTCTATTCCACATGGATGTCATTTATCTCCTGTTAATTCCCCTCTCCAAGTTCTCCACTGCCTTAACTAGGTATTGAACTCACACTCTTTGTGTCCTGTCACTGGATCTAACTAACACCTTTAACCACTGTGCTATGTGTCTTTAAGGAACTAGAACAGTCTACCCCAACGAGTGAAATAAAGGGTTAGACATTCCAACCACCTGAAGAAGGCTTGAGTGTACAATGGCCAAAACATCATGATAAATATGGCAACAAAGATGAGGATGATAGTCCAAACAATGTAAAAACTGAAGCTAATGAAAATGTTTAGAACCATTTTGCAGCTTCCAACCAAAAAGCTTCTTCTGGAAGTGACCAGTCTGTTTTGACTTCACTCCAGTAAAACAACCACTTCTTATTGGTGGAGTACAATTTGTGGTAGTGTGAGTAGAAGTCTGGATTACCTCAGTGGACTGTTTTTTACCTTAGAAAGTTCACAAGAGAATACAAATAAACACTAAGTATTTTGCTGATAATTTAAAAGCATCCATGCCAACCCAAATTTATATAATGCATTTTGCCATAAGTATGAAAAAAATTAATGTTCATTAACCATATTTTTACACAATTTTTCTAACATTAATTATCAGTAATTTAGGTAAGTGATCATAAGCAATGAAATGTTGGAAAGTATATAGACAATGTAATAGTGAGCAAACAACATAATGTGTATTGTCAATAAGTACATTATTACATCAAACTATGATAAATGTTTATTTTTAACTAAAGAAAATTAAATTATAGTGATCAAAAATGTTATAATTCAAAATCCTGTGAATTTACCAATAGCAAATAGATGTGCCTTTGCCTCAACCTAGGGATATGTTTACCTATCATTCCCAGTAGATTGTTGCATTTTCAGAAAATATACACTCTCTTGCACAAATTCCCTTTGTCTTCCACAGCTGTTGAAGCTTTCAAAAACTTAAAGAGATATTGCTAATGCATCAATTATAACAATAATTGCAGCACCATTCCTCTTATAATAGAAAATGATTGCTCCGAGACTGATATACAGGGTGTTTCAAAAAATTTGATATAATTTCGCAATCTAATAACTTTGTTAGATCTCCTTCAAATGACTTCAAATTTTAATAGCATCTTTATGTTTAATGTTTGTTTTATGTTTTTATGTCTTTATGTTTTTTGTTTTTCTTATTTGTATTTTTATGTTCTTTAATCTTTAATCTTTTTCTTTACAGGTATAAAAATGCTATTTACTAGAAGAGAAAAGGCATTTTGTGTGTTGGAGTTTGCTAGAACACAGTCAAATAAGACTGTGCAGTGTGCATTTATGAGAGAGTTCTCTAGAAGAAAGTCACCAACAGGAATGCAGATTTGGAGATGGCATAAAAAGTTCAAAGAGGAAGGCTGTCTGTGCAGAGCAAAAGGATCCGGACGACCACAAACTTCACATTTGTGAAATCGTTCACATAATCCACATGCTTTTGAATTTCTCATTCAGATTTGGAAGAATAAATCTTATGATCTTCAACATTAATACTTTTTAATTTCATTTGCCTTAATCATGTACTTTCTGTGATATTTACATCTCAAAGGATATCAAATTTTTTGAAACACCCTGTATTATTATCTTAGAACACCTACAGTGATTGTCACAATTATTGGCACAGTTCAATAAATAGTAAGTTTTTTGTGTATAATTAAATTTTAACATGCTAAATAAAAAAAGAAAGAGCCTTATTTTTATAAATTTACTCTAAATGCATTGTATCCAAGAAAATATTAAATGTAAACACTTCACCTACCCATTCTGGTTTAATTCTTCAGTTAGAGAAACATTCATTCCCTTCTTCCTGGACATCTCTTTACCAGAAAAGGCAACACCAGAAAAGGATGAGAGAAGTTCCAGGCTGTGATTTCTTAGCCTCTACTTGACAACCATTTCAATGACACTGACTGGCAGCCTCAGAAAGAGATTCGACTATGTTGCAAAGGTAAAACGTTGCAGTGTTTTACTGTCATGTGTGGAGATATTGTTATTATTGCTATGTTAATGGATTCATTGTGAAATCAAAAGAAAATGGTTGAATCAATCAACACAGTAATAATAACAATATCTCCACACGTGACAGTAATTGATGTAATTTTCAGTTAACAATATGAAAATAGTGTTCTCTAAATTCTTCCAGTTGCTAAGGACATTTTGTTTTTGTTATTATTAGTTACTTTGTTTAAATAAATCCATTTTGTTTTCTGCCTTGAGAAAGTCTACATTGGACAAAACGTGTCGGCAACTATTACAGTTTTCCTATTGTCATTTATATATATATATATATATATATATATATATATATATATATATATATATATATATATATATATATATATATATATAAATAAAAAGAAAGAACAGTAAGATATAAAATCCGGTGTTCTTATAGATATTTTATTTATTTATTTTTTTTTTTTTTTTTTTTTTTTTAAATTCAGACGACATCCATTCAACCGACGTCAGGTTTCAGAAAAAATACATCCTCACCCCTTACCAAAATGTAGCTAATAACTGATACAATGATAATAAGGAAAATCTAGAATGTTCAATTTGAGTAGAATATTCTGTAACCATGGAAACGTATTTTAGCTGTGTATTTAAAACCCGAATTTTAAAAGTTACTCCAAAATTCGCTTGAAGATGAAATGGAACTAATGCTTTTAATTTATTTGTAAAAATAAAATTAGGGTTTTAGCTTCTATTTTTTTGAAACATGGTTGGAACTGTGTAGAAAATAACCATATTTTAAATCAATTAATTTATAATATATATATATATATATATATATATATATATATCACATAGACTATGAAAAAAACTTGCACCAAAGTTGGAATGCTGAAGATATATATATTATATATATGTATGATAAAGCTATGGTGAAATTTATATGTATATTAGTTTGCTGTACAGCTAGAAACATGGATATTATAACTGATAATTTAGTAGACACTACTACTGCCAATAATATTGGTATTTCATTTATTTTGCCATCAAACTGAACAAAATTTCTTAAGCTCTAACATATATAAAAGACCAATTTACTTCAGAAAAGGAAGGAATGATAAATTATGTGGCAATTTATCATACAGGTGTATATTGTAGTAAAAAAAGAGAAGGTTTCTAACTAAAACGTCTTTTTCAGGGTGACTTTTATAAAGTTCATTTGTAGTTCTTTTGTAGAATCTATAGAAGCTGAATGGTCCAAGAGTGGGAAAGAATAAAATGGCTGCAGTTGCAATTAACACCTGATATAAAGTAAACTTAAGATGAAAAAAGCATTCACTAACAAAATGGTGGAAATTAGGAAAAAGATTTTTTAAATTCTACTATCATAGACACAAAGAAAAAGTTTAGTGAGTTTGTAATACAACCATTACCCACAATACAAACATCATACCTACTTCATATTATTGCAATATTTGTAAATTTAAAACATGAAAACAAGATATTGATTGAATTAACATCCAAGTTTGCTTGTGAAAAGAAAAGAATAATCAGAATAAATAATCAATTTGAATGAATTCTCAAGAGAAGAATTCATGTCCTTAAACTGTTTATTTCAGAATCATTAGATGATTATTTCTGCTCATTAGAAGAAGATTAAAATGGAAACAGACTGCTTACCTGGAAATCTGGTGAGTGGTAGGCTTCCAGAAGGAGTGGTCAAGGCTGTAGTAATTACTATTAATGGGCAGAGGACTGCGACCACGAAGATAAATGTACTTCTCCCTGAATAATGATTTGCATAAAAAAGAGAGAATCAACTTATTTTCAAGGATCAAAATATACACTATCTTTACATTTTTACTTGCATATTAATGTCTACATTAAATGATACTTAGATATACACTGCATTCTTTAAGAGTTTATGATCAGAGAAGAGGTACAAAAGAGGCATAAAAGCAAGGTACATGTGATTGACATTTGATCTGCTAACAAAAACTTATGTAGATTTTGTCTGGTAGGAAAGAGACAAGAAACTGTTTAGAATTCAACAAAATCTAATTAAAATATAATCACATTGTTTCCTAATATAAAAGAACATATCTTCATGTTTTTTAGAGACTTCTAAAATCTAAATGATTCCATGTAAATTCATGTGTTTACCCACATGTTAAATATGAACTATGCATTTTTTATTTGATTGTACCATTTCTTTCTTTTTATGTGCCATGTCCTTTTGGGACATAGGAGATCATGGCTCTCCACCTCCCTCTATCCCTTACAGCTTTCAGCAAGCTTCTTCCCTCTGCTTCCTCCCCCAGACCACATTCTGTCATCCACTTGCTTAAGTCTCCCAGCTATGTTACGCATTGTTTTCCCTTGTCTCACTTTCCCACTATTTGACCCGTGAGTATCAGATTCTCCAGTCCCTCCTTCCTCATTATGTGTCCAAGAAACTTCAGCTGCCTCTTCCTGATATTAAGTATAAGCCTCCTTCTTCTTTGCAACCTTTCTAAGATTTCATTGTTGCTCACGCACTTGGTCTATGATATCCTTAGCATCCTTCCTATATGAATTATCCTTAGGAAAACTATACATTGTTTAGGTATAAGCAAAGGTCACTAAAATAGTTGTCAGAAAAATAAATAAATTATATATACATATATTAGTGAATATACATAATATCCAATGTCAAAAGCATGACTCAGATTTTCATGCAGATATGAAATCTTTGGGTGCAGAATAATCACTGATCATTATGAAATTCGCATTCTAGTAATATATATATAAAAAATAACATAGATTTTCAATGCTTAACAAAACATGTAGTTCAGTATATATATATATATATATATATATATAAAAGGCAGGATGTGTGTGTGTGTGTGTGTGTAACGAATGCATGGCTGCAATTTTCGATGGATTTGCACCAAAATTTACATGCACACGCTCCAAGTTAGTGGGAAGGCCAAGACTGACTTTGCATTTCCCAACTCCCATCGATAGTGGAAATAATTGATTTTTTCATGCTTCTACAGCAGTTTTCATGTAGTTTGCGGCCATTTTGTACTGGCCAGAGTGAGAGCCTACAGCTGGCTGCCACAAATAGGCAGGAAGATTCTATTGGCCAGCGTGAGAGCCAACAGCTGACTGACACGAATGTTAACTAGCATGCAAAAAAAATCGATAGCTGCATTCTTCACAAGTGGGAAAAATTTAAATCTGCATGGCACTTTACTCCAATTGGCTCATTCACTTGCTTAAACTCAACGTTGATTCTGATTCCACAGAACTTGGTTGGCTGTGGAAAAAGTATTTGTTGTTAACATTCTTTTTCATTCGGTTTTTCCAGTTACGAGTCCTTTTTTAAAGCTGATCGTTTTCTGTTCATTTTGTTTAGTTCTTTTTTTGTAACAGATTTAATGTTTAGTATAGAGCTTAGAAAAAATTTGCAGTGTGAGATAGGCAATAAGTAAGGCATGTAGCAACATCAGCATGGCAAAGGGCACTCCTTTAAAGGCAAGGAAGGGCAAAAATATTTTAAGTCAAGTGATAGCAATTGCTGTATGAGTCGTATGATTTTTGAATCAAGCACTGGCAACGCTGGGCCATGCTTCTAGTATATATATATATATATATATATATATATATATTGAATAAATTGGATTTTCTGCAGACTTAATTTTGATCAATTTAATTTTTATTCTGTTTTAAGAAAAACAACTGCTAATTTCAATGTGTCTTGACAAGATTCTGTCAAGTCAAGGATGCAGGGTTTTATTGCATGGAACATCATTATGTTTTCCTTCTATCTGAAATTTTATTAATGTTTGACAATAGAGAATTCAGTAAATAAATAATTAAAAAACAGCAAAAATTAATTCTAAACAAGAACTGAAGTTTTCTTCTGGAGGCTGGAATTAGAACGTATCATTTACTTTTAAATCATAAACTTGACAACATTACTCATTATATAGGGTTATGTTTTGTATGTTTTGTTCTTATTATGAATAAGAGTGACAAAAGAAACAATGATATAGTGTACAAGATATGTCATTTGATTGTGAAAAGCTGAACTGATGAAAATCAAAACATTCTTTAAATTAAGATTAGGAAATTGTTCCATTCCACACATGATTCTGAGTAGCACTTGCCTTGTTTTTTAGTGAAATTTCTCACTGCCTTCTAAGGAGGAAAATTTACTTACCACCAGTCTGTGACCCAATTCAGAGCCCACCATGATTTTAAGACTAAGAGATGTTGAAGTTTTGGTCCCGGTGATATTGCAAATTCCTAAATGAGAAAAATTACTAATTAAAATTGATTAAATAAAAATAAAATTGTTTAATTAATATTTAAGAAACTTAAAAGTATTGCTAAATCAATCAATTATATCAAATATATGTGTACATATATATGCAATAGTATATAATGTTGGATAAGTAAAGAACTTTATTTAAACAGCATATTTGATTGCTGCAGTTTAATTGATTTGATTAAGAAATGAATTAAAATAACAATTATTATCTGCTTGGTGGCTAAGATAATTGCATATTTCCCACCAGTTTCAATGGTTGGTGTCTGTATCCAGTTAAAAACTGAAACTGAGTTTGACAGACACTCTTCACTTGATTTTACTAATGTTCACCTAATATAAGGCCCAAGAGCCACTGAAGGTAGAGGGTTACCGTGTGGTGTTGTATTAGTGTAAGAAAGGACAAGAAGTGAACGGCTATGCAGGAAAGATAACAGCTAACTCTAGACTTGAAGAGATCAAGATTTAATTAGTGAATAAAATTTCAGAGTTCGAGTGCAAACATTAGGAGAATAGAGTTGAAGTGGACTATAGAAAGAACCAGAAATGCTATCCTAAACAGGAAACAGGGGATAAGAATCTACTCCTGTTCAAAAGATGGGGGAGGAGTATGAAACAGATGATAGGCAAACCTATCTATTCCTATTTGGAAGATTAGAGCAACACAATCTTCCTAACATAATGATATTTTCATTTATAATTGTAGTTTACTAAGCTAAGCTTAGCACAGTAAAAAGAATATAAAATTATAAATAGAGAAAAGCAAATGTTTTAAATTGAAAATCTAATCCTCTGAAAATTTATCATCATGTGGATGTGAATATCTGCCTATTAGACTGTCAAGGTGCCATACCATGTAATTTATTTTCATGGCATCTCTCCAGGGATTACTTGCTGGTCGTCATTTCTTCTTCAATAACATGTATCAATCACATGCAAAATCAATGACAAGAAGAATGAAGCAGAAAAACACAAAATAAACTAAATACAATCTTATCAACCCTTGGGGAAAAAACCCTGCCATTATGAAAAATCCCAAAGAGAAGATGTTATTATATTATGACTATGAATAGGTCACAACTAAAATTGCACATTCTTTCTTACTGAAACAAGAAAAACACTGTGGTGTTCTATATGCCAAACCCAATATATGGTAAAATATTTTCTAATTGAATGCCTTGATCTTGATTCTAAAAGACACAATTTCTTCAAGGCAAACAGCCTAAAAAACCTATTTGAAAATAGTAAAATAAATAGAATTATAACATTCCTGAAATCAGTTGGATTATATCTGAAAATATATAAAAAAAATCCAAAGATTGTCCATTTTTCGCTAAATATGAACTAAAATAAATCAGTTTTAGTATAAAATGACTCTAAAGAGTTGATATACCATTAAAAATCTGCTTAAACTTGTCCTTGCTGGTACCATGTAACCTATATAATTGTAGTTTACTAAGCTAAGCTTAGCAAATAGTAAAAAGAATATAAAATTATAAAAAGAAATTCAAATGTTTTTAATTGAAAATCTAATCCTCTGAATATAGGACACCACAGTGGTTCTTCTTGTTTCAGTAAGAAAGAAGATGCAATTTTAGTTGTGACCTATTCATAGTCATAATATAATAACATCTTCTCTTTAGGATGTTTCATAATGGCAGGGTTTTTTTCCCCAGGGTTGGTAAGACTGTATTTAGTTTATTTTGTGTTTTTCTGCTTCATTCTTCTTGCCAATGATTTTGCATGTGATTCTTAATTAATGATTTTAGGTCAGTATATAGGATTTGGAAATTTTCAGGAACTAGTCTTAATGCCAGTTTATCACTTTTGTCTTCTCTTTCATTGTCCTTAATTCCTACATGATCAGTAAGGACAACTTCACAGCCTGACAATCCAATGCTCAAGAAGGATTGTTTTACAACATTTCTATTTTCCCTTCTAATTACCATAGTGAATGCAGACTGTCTCAGCCAGAGTTTAAACTTGGCTTGCTGATTCCATTCCCCATGTTCTTAACTCTTAGCCACCCACCTTTTCTAACAATATAATTCAAAGAAATATATGCAAATTTATGCAGTTTCCTGTTTATGGTACATATGTTCTTTTTATGATATGTTAAAGAAATGAATTTCACAAGTTAAAATTTAAGATAAACTATTTTCAAACATGAAATATAACAGAATCAAACCTGAGCTTGTTTTTTCAAGTTGATGATTTCTGTAGAATTTTCTCCATAAAGAGGAAGGAGAGAATCAATAAGTTTTTTCAGAGTTTCATTGAGAGGAGGCACTGGAAGACGAGGTAAACTTTGTTGGCAACTGTATAAGAGAGGGGAGTAACCACTAACCAAACGAACTGTTAAACCCCATAGCTTTGTACACAATCCTTGGGAACGTGGAGTCTCATCTGAAATAAATACAGAGTTTGAATTAAGAAGATGGAAAGCAATAAATGAGAAAAACTGAAGTGTTTTCTGATCAAGTTAAAAAATAATAAGAAAAAGAAAATTCCTGATTTGGAAACAAAATTAAAAGAAAAGGAAAAAAAAAACTTGGCCTAAGTTATAATTTATTTAAAAAAATGGATTTCTTTTTTCTTAATAAATGATAGTGAAAATTTTACATATATATAAATTGTTGTTGGCTTTGGCTTCTTAAGTGTGTAACTCAACAATTCAACTGGTGATAGCAGGTAGGCACAAAAAGAAAAACCGTGTCGCACGCTCAACCTTCTCACGAGCAGAAAGCCTTCTGTTTTGAAACAGCAGAAACGAGTGTCCGACCACATGCGAATCACGAGGCAACGAGATTTCACTTTAACTGACCGAGACCACTCGGCATAAAACGCTGGCGCCGCCATTTTGGTTTTTTTAAGACAGTTGAAGGACCAGTGTTTACATACTAAGATTTCTTCCGAGGTAGGCCATTTTCTTTTCCCCACACTGATCTCATGATCACAAACAGGGCAGGGAGGTGGCGATCGCCGCCGCCCGAGTCCTTCATAACAATGTTCATCCTCGGCGTGTTCTCGTTGGTTTGAGTGTCAAAACACTGTGAAACCTTTATTTTGGACACCCTGGAAACACGCTGCCTTTTTCAAACCATTTTAGTCAGGCCCGTATCAGGGATCAACTTTAGATCGAACTTGTCCATTGCCAAATAGCTTGAAGTGTGTAACTCAACAATTCAACTGGTGATAATAGGCACAAAGAAAAAAACCGTGTCGCATCCAACCTTCTCACAAAAGCCTTCTGTTTGAAACAGCAGAAACGAGCCTGCTTTATACAGCTCGGACCACCACAATTTGCATGTTCGAATCATGAGGCAAACAGTAAAAGACCACTTATAAAAGCGCATAGACCATTTTGGTTTTTTCCAGTGTTTACATATGTGATTCAACGCTTCTTTCGAGGTAGGCCATTTTCACTTTTTTCATATACAATTATGGTGTAGGCGTGTCCTACCACAGAGGCTATGCAGGGAATGTATAAGAAATAGAAAAAGGATAAATTTCTCATGAAACTTGTGTTTTATAAAAATCTCTTTTCTTCAACAATGTTTCTGTAGTTCTTCCAAAAAAAGAAAACCTGGAAAACTGTTGCCATTTTTTCCTATCAGCAGCTTGTATTGGCCACTGGAAATAGCAGATACTAGAGGAGTCCTTGTACATCTTTCATACATCGTACAGTTCACCAAACAGTAAAACCTTACATAGACCATAGTTTCAACTGTTAATATGTGACCTACTTATTATAAGGTGTATTTTGCGGAAAATAGCTTCTATGCTTGTGACTTTTGTAATCTTGAGGATTTTAGTGTTAGTCGTGGAATTGTTTCAGTCAATGGCATGGAGGTAACATTGATAGAAGATTTTAAGTAAATGTAAGTGACTTTAGATGATCCTAATTTGGCAACATATAGAAGGGTAGTCAGCACAACACTTTTTGTTGTTTACATCTGATAATGTAGATGTTGGTTATCTCCCTATCTGCAAAATTGTTTATAAGTTTTGATTCTTCAAAACTGAAGATGAATATATAAGCTGTCCAAGTTGGGGGTGTTATAAAATAAAATAAGACATATCTCGGCTGATTTACAGGCAAATAAACTAACATACTCAAGAGCGAGAACCAGATGTGAACAGGACAAGGCCCCATCACAAAATGACCATTATCTTCGTTTACGCATGTTCCCGATGCACGAGTTCCGGTCGAAAAATAAAATAATATTTTAAAGTGTTTCTATTTTTCGACCAATAAAAATGCTTCCCTCCTAATTATACTTGCCTCGTTTTTCAAGCCTGTTAAGCCATAAAAAAACGCCATAAAAGGGGTCACACGAAGTGCAATGGCAGTCAACAGGAGGCCAGGGAAGAGACCTGTCACGGTCAGGCTGAGCGGTCAGCAACAGCCAGCAGCAGTAGCGCCACACGAACCAGCGAGAACTATTATGAGAGATCAACCCAGATCTTTGGCCACCCTATGAACTATACCACAAGGTAGCTGTCCAAAAACTATATGTTCCTATTGAAATAAATCACGTAAATCTATTTCTACTGTTGTTGTATTTCTTTCTTGCAACCATACGCTTGTCTATAACAAGGGTTGATGCTGATATAACTACAGCACTTCAGTACTTATATGAGTTACAAAGTGTTTTTTACCTGACAAAATTGAGTGCATTATCTTTTACAAACATACAGACAAAATGAGTGCAGGTAATATCCCCCTACTAACTGAATTTGTTTGGGACTAATTTTTGTTTCAGCAAATGTCCAGCAGTAAAGCAGAATATTTTAATGACATTTTAAATACAATGTATTATTTTTATAATGTTATTATTTGATGATCTGGTGGGGATTTGCTTTAGGTTTAATGTGATAGGAATTAAAGATTCTCAGTAGCCAACAAACTTCTAAGATGAAATATTGTAATTATTATGGGTTCTGACTATTATATTTCTGTTGCTATTTATTGCCACTCTTAAGTGTGGACTGAAAATGGTGCCTGTCTTTCTGCAGAATTATGTGAGAGTTGCAATAATAACACAACAGAAATAAGATGTAAAAAAAAGATTAGTAAAAAATGAATAATAATGGCAATCTTTAATTTGGAAAATTTTCACATTATTATATCTAATACTACTAGTGTATAAAAACAAACAAGATAGCAAATTAGTGGCAATCAGAGAAATGAGGAATATAGCTTATTTGAGCAATGCCTGTCAGTAAAGCTTTTGTAGTCAAATGAGTAATTTCAGTGTGCTTACTTGAGAGTTGTAATAAAAAGCATCAGAAATAAGAGGAAAAAAGACTAACCAAAAAATTAATGATGTCAGCAATGAAATTTAAAAAAAATCAACACCTGATATAATCAAGATATATAATTTTCTCAAAAATACTTTGGCTATATCACATTTACTTGCCTAAAAAAACATTACAACAAATAAAAATAACCAAAGATTAGATAGCATTCAATGTGCTGCTATGACAGATCCAATCACAAAAGTTTTGAGTGAGTTATAGAGAACAGAGAACCCTTTTAAAATGTATTGTAATATTCGTAAAATAATTTTGTAGACAAGCAAGCAAATACTGATATATTCTTTATGCATAATTATTGTATTTATTAACCTATAAGACACACTTAAACATATCTAAATATAACACTAAGTTTAATAGACTGGTATAATAAATGGGAAGTCAAGTATCTTAGTAAAGATAAATTAGTAATAAAAAATGACCTTGAAAATATGTCTATTCTAATAAATATGGTCAATATTACATATGATATTTTTTGTTTTTTTTTAAAGCAATTCACCCCAAGCAAGGTGGGAGTGCCACTAGCATGCAAGGGGTTACAGAGGATTGAGAACAAGAATAAAGAGGGATGTTTGGGGAAAGAATACAGAGAAGGACGGGGAACAAGCTCAGGGTGTCAGATGTCGATTGACATTACACTTGAATATTTGGAGATTATAGTCATCGGGGAAGCAAGTAAGGGGAAGGGAGTTCCACAGACAGGAAATGTGGGAGAAGAAGCTGTTTGAGTAGAAGAAACAGTTGCATTTAACCATTTTGACAGTGAAAGGGTAGCTTGCTTAAATTCATGCAGTCCAAGAACCAGTGAAAGTAGCTCATCAGAACAGTTGCTGTGAAAATACTTGTAGAAGAGACAGAGGGAGGCCATGGCATGTCTATTGATTGTAGACTAGATGCCAGATCAGGGCCTATCATTTTGCATATTCATCTCTGGATTTTGTCAAGGGAGCACGAGACCATATATGACAGCAATATTCCATGCAAGGACAGAAGGTTGATTTATAGATTGAGTATATATATGATAAGTGAACCAAAAGATTACAAAAAGGTTCATCTACAAAACTCTGGAGTTGAGTTGTTGAATATAACATGAATCAGCTGACAAATTTTATTTGTATTAATCCTATATAGGTGAACACTGATTGATTCATTTTCTATGGCTTATCACTCCTTTGCAGATTATTTAAAGCCCAAAAATACTTTTAAATTTTAAGATTTTTTTTTTTAGAGATAATGGTTAATGATACAAGTCTTACTAATTAAGCCATAGCTGGGGGAAGAAGAGGTGGATACTGTATCAAGGGTATTTACACATAAGTGACATATAATAAAACCCAACAGGAATTCAAACTTGGCTCATCAATTAATAATTCTGTGCCATTATCCATTACACCATCTGCACTTACAGCATCTGATATTCCCAAGCAGTCAGTCAGTCAGTCAGTTATGTGCCATGCATGATACATGCTTAGGTGATCATGTATCTTTCGATACATGACTGACAAGGCAGATTTTTTTCCGCAGTAGACCAGTTGGGATCCAAGGATATAGAACCTGGTCTGTCTTGCTATTTACCCATAGCTGGGGGGAGAAGAAGATGATTCATACCTTTCCCAAGGGTATTAGCATGTAAATGAATGTAATAGATTCAACTCGAATTCGGCTCTCCAATTCCTCAATCCAAGCTGCTATTCATTAGTAACCCAATTGAATTTGATAGTTTGTAGTGTATCAGTTATGTTGTCACTGCACATAAGTGCCTACAAGTTTTTAAAAGATGAAATAATTCCTGTGTTGCATTTCTTTTGTTCCAATTTAGTCGGTGTAAAATAACTTAGTATACCTTAGTATACCACAGAGTCTCTTTTCGGTCCAACTTGGTCAGCATGATATAGCTGAATATGTCTATCATCATTTCCATGTGCTTTCATTTTGTTTCAAAATTAATTTCCTTGTCCTTGATTGGCAATGCCTAGTGAAGAAAGAGGTAGAGTTCTTGAAGTTGGTGCAGACTATCATAAAATACTCTTGAAGGGAGGTGATTGATCTATGCTAACCAATCAATGTATCTATTCCATGTCTTGATTGATAGCAAACACCAAACATAAATCTTGTTAAGTTCACATTTTCTTTGCTCATCACATAACCACTTTCTATTCTTTTTATCAATTAATTTTTTTAAGTTATGCTATAAGTTTAAAAGTTCAAATTAACTAATGGCTTTTTACTTTTTAATTGTTATCAACTAATTTTGATAGATAGATACATCAACTAAAACCCTGACAAATATGTTTTAGTTATTTACTATTAATTTTTTTACTAATATTTATTTCATCTTATTTCTGTTGCTCTTACTATAAGTCTCATTCTATATATTCCATTAATTAAACAGCAGTAAGTGAAAAAAAATCTTTTGAATAAAGTGCCATAGAAATTAATAATCAAAAATTAATATAAATTGGTGGTACTTCATGTAAGGAATTCAAATATTAATTGAATATTAATACTACTAGTGTTTTATATCTCTTGTTAAGTAATTTAATTTTGTTTTTTCTTAGAAATCTCAAAGAAAAATATTTTATACAGAAACTAACAATTATTTGTACTTGGTTTCCTTTTCAACTTAACAATAGAACTTAAATAGCTTGAGTGTTTAAATAAAGAATAATGTCTCCTAACACTTCCCTTTTTAGTACTATGGCTAGCCCATGAACTTGAATTTTATACTTAAAAAGCATTCAGTGTGTCAATGAAAGCAAATACCATACAAGTGTTTATGGAACTTGATATAAATAGTGAATGGAAATCATATTATATTCAACCTGTGAAGCAGAGTAGTAGTAGTAGTAGTAGTAGTTAATAATAATAATAATAATATTCTAGACAATTGTTTATTCTGAAGATTGCACTCATCTGTTAACTTGATACAAAAAGCAGAAGGGTGATGAAAAATTTTGATAAATGAATTTTTGTCTTATAAAGCAACATCAAAGAAAGAGGAAATGTATATAATGTATATTTAGAAATATATGAACCACAGGTTAAATTGCAACATACTTGCCTGGTTTAACTTAAACTTTTGGAACTAACAGAAAAGCAAAAGCTGAATTTTTTTATTGTACTTGACAACTGAAGTGTCAAGGAATTTAGGTATAGAATGCTATTGGAAAAAGCAATACAGATGCAGAAGGATGTGTATCTATGTTTTATAGACTATGCAAAGGCATTTGACAAAGTATGCCACAAGTACCTGCTAGAACTACTCAGCAACCTTGATATATTTGGGAAAGATATCAGAATAATCAAGAACATATACTGGCAGCAAATAGCATGCATTCGCATCAAGAATGAGCTCAGCCAATATAAAAAAATAGAAAGAGGTGTAAGGCAAGGATGTGTCTTCTCACCGGACTTATTCAACCTATACAATGAGGCAATTCTGAGGGAACTGGAGATCCTACCAGGATTCATCATTGGCAGCCACAACTTTACCAACATAAGATATGCAGATGACACGGTACTGATAGCAGATATGGAAAAGAAACTACAAAACTTTCTACAGACGGTAGCAAGGGAGAGTGAGTGGAAAGAACTAACCATAAACTACAAGAAGACATAATGCATGGTCATCAATAAAAGTATGAACCCAAAATGCGATTTGCAGGTTGGAGATACTAAAATCAAACATATGTCAAAGTTTAAATATCTGGGAAGTGTTCTGACAGAGGATGGCAGGTGCAACGCTGAGATCCAAAGACGGATCAGGATGGCCAAGGATGTATTCCAGAAGCTGGGAAGAGTACTGCGAAACAGGAGGATTTCTATGGTGACAAAGAAAAGAGTACTGAGCTGTTACGTGACATCTATCCTCCTATACAGCAACGAATGTTGAACAGTATCCTCAAGGATGATGAAGATACTCAAGGCGGCGGAGATGTGGTTCTACAGAAGGATACTGAGGATATCATGCATCAAGCATGTGAGCAACGATGAGGTCTTGGAGAGGACGCAAACAAGGAGGAAGCTTATGCTTAACATAAGGAAGAGGCAGATGAAATTTCTGGGACACTGATGAGAAAGGAGTACCTGGAGAATCTGATACTCACGGGACGAATAGAGGGAAAAAGTGACAGGGGAAAGCAGCACATGCCATACGTGGCGGGCTTGGGCAGGTGGATGGTGGAGCATGGTCCGGGGGGAGTTGGCAGAAACACAAAACCTGTTGAGAGCCACAAGAGATAAAGGGAAGTGGAGGGACACGGCACATAAAAAGAAAAGAAATACTTCATATTTTTTGAAAGTCAACCAATCAGCAAAATATAAAATCTTTCTCAATTAGACTTAATGAATCTAATATTATTTGTTTATCTAAAAATGGTTTGAATAAAATCCTGAAAGGACAAGGCACATAAAAGAAAATGGTTTCCTTTCATGATATCCTGTCCCGATGTATCCTCTACATTAGAAATACAAGCACTTTGCTCAGTTTTTGCTGTCTTTGAGCTACTAGCTTATATTAATTCTGACAGAATGATTTCATTTATGTCCATATGTGTACAGCAATTCCTACAAGAGCAAGGAGTTGCTGTAAGTAGAACAACCCCATATAATCCTCAAGGTAATGGCTAGTGCAAGAGGTATAATGGAATTATTTGGAAAATGGTTCAACTAGCATCTGCTGATAAAGGGGTACCTTTAGAGAATTTAGGAATAATTACTCCCAGAGGCCCTGCATGTAATTAGAACATAATACCACATGAATGATTCCTTCCATTTTCTAGAAGAATTTTGACTGAAATGTCTCTACCATCTTGGCTCTCAAAACTGGGTGGAATATTACTAAAAATATACACACAACTAAATAAGAACAAACCACTGGTGGATCAAGTGGAACTTCTAAATGCCAACCTCCAGTATGTGTGTGTTTGTTACCCTGATGGAGAGAAGACACAGTCTAAGAGACTTGGTTCC